GTTGGAGGATGGAATGGGTAACCTATGAATTTTCAGAGAAGAAACAAGGAAATTAAATTTTGGAATGCAAGTACTTTGCGTACATGCAACCTAGGATAGTGGAATGAACATAGGAGAAATTTAGTCCTGACACCAATATGGTAAAGGGATTCTCTTTAAGTCACCTACTTGTTCAATCTTTTTAAAAAAATTCTTTTTCTTATCTGTAATTTGAAAATAATGTCCTCCTGTTCCCCAGCTAACATCTTCAAAGGCTACTGAGGTATGAAATAATGGACGTGACTTGCTCTGGAAATACATGTTCGGATTCTAGGAGTTAATTTTTTAAGTCATTTAGTACAGCTCAACAGTATTCCAAAAGATTAGATTATTTGTAGTATCTAATTATGTGTGGCCATTTGGGTTAATACAGGTTCTATTCATCAGAGGCTATGAACTTGATCTGAATGCTTAAAATACATTATCATTCAAAGTCTCAAGGCATGTGTTGTAACCAGAATAGCAGTGATACAATTTGCAATTAAAAAATTAAAATTGAAGATATACTCCTAAGTGAAATAAATAAGTCACACGTGTAAATACCGAATAGTGTCCCTGGTGTGAATAATCTGCAACAATGCATAAGATTCTAATAAGATTACTGACATTTAGAAATGGGAAGAAAGGAGCTAAAGGTGTAGGGAAGGTGGGATGGGTAGGGGAAGAGTAAAAAGGGAAAAGAAAAAAATGTGAGAGAATGAAAAGATGAAAATAAAGTGTTTGTAGATGGGGAGGGGAGGAGGGGGTGAAGGGAGGGCAGAGGTAAGGGGAAAAAATGAGAATCAAGACTTGCCATGTAGAGATACATGATCCCAACAATGAATGTAACTGTACTGTATCCCTAAAATGTATCAATAAACTCAAAGCTGGAAAAAAAATTAAAATTAGTATTAACATGCGGCTAGAAATCAGAACAGTGGTTACTTCTGTGGAGAGTAGATCAACTAGTGAGGGAAGAAGAGAACTTTCTAGAGTGATAGAAACGTTCTGTATTTCAGCTCAGGTATTGGTATATAGAAATCTGTTTTAAAAACTCATTGAAGTAGGGCCAGGGATTTAGCTCAGTGGTGCCACCACCTGCCTCACAAATGCAAAGTCCTGAGTTCAATCCCTGGGATCAAAAAACAAAAACAAAAAAAACTCACTGAAGTAAACACAAAAATCATATGCTTTTTTATAAGGATACTTCAATCTAAAAATAATGAAAATAGAAAAACTGTCTACATGTCAGTGATTGTAACATGGGTATATTTCTTTGAAATATTATGTCCTACACTTTTGTGCTAGTGCACCAGTAGCAAAATAAACCAGTGCTTCATCAATCAGATCCATCTGTTTTTACTCTCATTCATGTAACATTCAGATCATACAGGCCCTAACAACAAACTCTAAGGACTTCATTGTCTGTAATGAAATGGAGTCTTTGGAGAATCTGGAGATGTGATCACCTTAAACTTCTAACAACGTTTGTGTAGTTTCTTGCAAACCAAGCTACCAAAACTCTAGAAGCTAGGGAATACACACATATGGTGTGTTTAAAGGCATAAAGTATTGAAACAGTGAGAATTTGAGGAGCTATCTCGGAAGGAAAGTTGTAGAGGATCAATAAACACTGAAGTACTGGGCCTGGCAAGGAATGAGAGCCTGGGAAAATACTCCAGGTTTTTAGTTTTAAGTACTAAGTGGACATGAACCAGAGGGACATGGCAGAGGAGAAACAGTCCATGGCATGGCAGGACAGGCAGAAGGCAGGAGGTAAGCAATAGCAGCCAAAAAGAAGACACAGCACTAGCTGGCCTTCTTACTGTCCCTTATATAGGCCTTCCAGGCCACCTGCCCTTTGGGTAGTGCTACCCACACCCAGGGTGCTATAGTTTATATCTAAAAATCCCCAAAAGCCTCATAGCTGAGGCTTTTGGGATGATTGGATCATGGAGGCATGATATTTATTAGTGGATTGGTCTAAGTCCACTGACTTAGTTTATAGCTAAAGGTGAAGCCTGATTTCGGGAGATGTCACTAGGGGCATGGCCCGGAAGGGTCTCTCTCCTAGTCCCTTGATTCCTGCTTCCCGCTTGCCATGCTGTCCTGCCTTAGACCAGCCAACTGTGGACTGAATCCTCTACAAATTTTTAGCCAAAACAAACCTCTCTTTCCATAAATTGTGGTTGTCAGATATTTTGTCCCAGCAACAAACATTAAGACAGTATTATAATGGTAGAATCTAGTTATGTTGTATACAAGTGGGATAAGTCACCTCATAAATTTTGAAGATTAAATCAGGTAATAGGTTAAATATTTAATTATGTCATTATCGCCATCAATGAATCTGAAGAATATGGTACCTGCTTATAGGCAGTTGATAATTTTTGGTTGCTACTTGCATTCATTTAACCATCATGGGTAGAGAAGTCAGGAGAAGTTTCCAGTTAAATCTCTGGAGGCAGGAATGGCAGGGAGACCCCTTACATAACAGGAGAGATGAAGTGAAATTATGGCTATTGAGAAATGAGATGATACCTAGCTCCTGCCCTCACTTAAGAATGCTAACAGCTACACTCCTAACACTGAAGACAGAAAGCTAGCAGAGTCCCCTTTAGAAAAATAGACCCACCCCCAAGAAAAACCTCCAGAAAATGATGTTGGAACAGAAGGTAGCCAATGAAAGTTTTCTTGGTCCCTTATCCTACAATGAAGCCTGCCACTGAAAAGGCCTACTCATGCACTGAGGCTTTTTAATTATTTTGCTTTGTGCCTCTCAAATATGAAGGGACCTGAGACATTCTACCTTGAAAGACTGTGAACAAACCAAATAGAGAAACAAGAAGTAGTGTTAGTACAGGGAACAAAGAAAAAATTTAAACAACCAAGAAATATCCTTAGACTAAGGATATTAGCATTCATTAGCATGCACTAATATCCTTAGACTAAGAAGAACACACTGTACTCAAGAAAAAGATGCTACTTAAGACTTAGATCCCTCCTATTTTGAATAATTGTACAAGAAAACAAAGAGAAGTATCAATATGGTCAATTCTATGACAGTGTGCTACCTGGCCTAAAAATCAGTCAGTTCAGAGCAGAGAATGAAGGACTCAGGAAAAAGTTTCCTTCTAAATGATTTTGGGGGATAATGATAAATGGTTTGGGGATAATTAACAAAATATAAATTAAAACAAATTACAACCAAGTTAAATACTAATTCCAGAAACACAAAAATATTTTAAAAGAAAATCAGTATACACAGAAGACTTATCTACATTTTCTATAGATACAAATGTATTCCTTATAATGAATATGAATTTAACAAAAATTATATAATAAAATGATAGAAGTCCTAATGAGGGCCAGGCTGGGGAAGATAGGTGAGAAGGAAAAATATTTACCTTCTACAGTAGGAAGTTGGTAAATAATATTTATAATTTATTTTATTTTTTTTGGTACCAGGAATCAAATTCAGGGCCTCACACTTGCCAGGCAGGCACTAACTATCCTGCTGAGCTACATTCATACAATTTGAAAAAAGGAGAGGGTAAGCAGTGGAGGCAATACAGCAAAGTTTTTAGAGCTCAGATGCCCAAGTTTTATTGATTGATTGATTGACTGGTACCAGGGATCAGACTCGAGTCCTAGTGCTTGCGAGGCAGGTGGAGGAACCACTGAGCTAAATCCCCAGCCCCAAGTTTTAATAATTGAAATATAATCTAAACTCTGTCACTTCATCTGTGACTGGGTTACTTATCCTTTTTCTGAAATTCTTTATCTCTAAAATGATTGTTCTAAGAAATGACTAATTAATGCAGAGTATACACCATACTTGCTACACAATAAATGCTATAATTAAGCCTTTTACATGCAAATATGGAAATAAACAACAGAGGAATAGGCTGGGGATTTAGCTTAGTGGTTCCACCATCTGCTTTGCAAGAGCAAGATCCCAAATTCCATCACTGATACAAAAACAAAAACAAAACCAGAGGAATAGGGAGTGGGAATAAGACGTTGGTAGAATAGGACAGAGGTCTAAATTTTTCTTATAATGTAGTAGCACTGTCCAATGTAAGCTGCTGTTTTTAAATTGCCCTATATTTTACAAAATAAACAGGTAAAACTAATCTTAATGTTTTACTTAACCCTGTATATCCAAATATTACTATTTAAAACATAATCATTAACAAATTGATATTTTACATTCTTTTGTTTTATATTAAGTACTTGAAACCCAGCGTTTTTACAGTAATTTAACATTTTGAGCATATATCAATTCAGATTAGCCATTTTAAGTGTTCAATAGCTACTAGTGGCTATCATAATGGACAGTGTAGTATGCTAATATTTAATTTTTAACAATATATATCATCAGCCAGCATGGTTGCATATGCCTGTAATCTCAGCATGTAGGAGGCTAAGGCAGAAGGCCTGCCACAAGTTTAAGGACAGCATGGACTACACAGTGAGTTCAAGACCAGCCTGAACTACATAGTGAGAGCCTGTCTCAAAACCAACAAAAAAACAAACAAAAAAACCAAAAAACTCATCAGTAGTTGATAAATCACAAGAGACAAAAATTCATTACATGCTTTCTGATGGAAGACTACCACTTTATACAGCAATGTATTAAAAAAACTGTGTATGATGAACCCTGTTGATTCAATTTACCAATTTATAGAAATAGTGAAGAAAACCATATTAAAGGACACATCAGGGATACAATCAGCAAAACTCAGGTTGTAGTAAACTTAGTAGACGAATAAACCAAAAAGGAAATTTTAAAAATTGAAATGGAGGATCCATGAGTTTAAAATAAACTTGGAGACTTATGCATAAAGTGCAATGTTGTAGTCCTTATTTAAATCTTGGATATAAGAACTTTTAAATACTTATCTAAAGAAAGATTCTCAGAAAACCACACGACAAATTCAAGACAATGAATTCAAGACACTAGTCAGTATGGATGGAGAATGTACTTTTATTCTTGTTTTATACTAGGATGTCAACACTGAATAATCCATTGTTCACAATTAAGCTATAAAAATGTTTAATCCTTAAATCGTACATTAATATCCTATGACTCCAAGTTTTATTCATCAGTCTCCTTCAAGTATGAAGAAAATGATTAATTTATTAGGTTTCACAGACAGCACAGTCCCACTGACATAACATTTAGTCTGAAATCCTACACTTGTGAGAGTTAATAGCCAGTATCAAACTGGCCTGAAACCTGATTGTATTCTGGCTCAGGATACCTGCAATGGATGTATATGTCCACACTAAGACACAAAAATTAAACTCGGGTGTATTAATTTTATTTTAAAAACTTTTCACAGATTAAAAATTAACAAAAAATTTACCAAATTTTAACCTTATTATGATATTTTATTCAATTAAATTTTCAAAATGCCTGTTTAACTGCAAGTTAGTTGCAAATAACTTGACATGGATCGCTTTTTACAATTTGCCCAGTATTTCAAAATACTTATGGAATTAACATAACTTTTAAAATGTCAAAATTAGGCTATACATATTGCACTCTTCTGCTAGACAGGGCTAGTATCTTCCATGGCAAGATACCAAAACGACTTAATAAAATATATTTTAAAAATCAGTAAGTACTTGATTAATTTCCCTGATTACTTCTAGGATTTTGTAAGGTTTGATTCCTTAAATAGTTTTAAAGTTTAACCTACAGAGGGGATTAAAAACCCTCATATATTGACCTTTTTATGTCCTTTTTTGGTCCCTCAATGACCAAAGAAAAATTTAAATAAATCATGTTTTGTTTCCTGACTTAATAAAAAGCCAGTTTTTATTATCCAAATTAAGTAGTATACTAAGCAAAAGCTACTAATTTTGAGATGCCTATGTATGTCTGCCTGTTGGTTCCCTCAGAACCTTTCTAAACTTTTATAATGAAGAGATTTTAATCAATTATGTATTAAAATCAAACTAGGTAAAGAAAAACTTATTTTGCAAAAATAAAATCACTTCCCAATATTGCTTGACAGAAACAAGCTATTCATTTTCATTTGTGTTCCACTGAAGACATTACTGAAATCTGTCCAATGGTTTATTTCCAAGAGGTCCACTATGGAATTCTTCGGAATGTTTTAAGATTGGCTGTAGCTAGAGTTCTGACTTCCATTTGGACCCTGCTCTCCTTCACTGTTCAAATGGGGAAGAAAGAGATTTTATACTAATTAAAAGATTCATTTCTGGCACACAGATACGCTTACTAATTTCTGAAGTTCATTATTTTGTGGCATAACTCTACCAAACAAAAATATTCTAGATAGAATATTCTTATACACAGACACTGATGTGGAAAAATTAAAATCCAGAAGACTAACATTTGGTTTTATGTTTTTATTCTTATTTTAACTGTACTCTCACAAATAACAAGCAGTCTGAAAGTTAGTATCCATATACACTAAAAATTTTTAAATTAGAATATGGGGTTTCACTGTTATTACAGGTATCACTCAACATAGAGATTACAGCTTCTTCTAAACAAATTTCCTATGAAATTAAATTTAACATATAAATTCCTATATCTACTATTTAGGAAAATCAAGTGTCCTTCCAAAAAAAAAAAAAAAAGTTGTACAACGGCATAATAAAATCATATGTAATTACAGCAAACTTTTATAAGTCAGAAAAATGGTAATTTCCTGTAAAATACTGCATATTTAAAATAAAAACTAAAGCTGAAAGTACCAGTAACTGTGGCAATAGGATTATTGCCTTATCTTCTCCACCATCATCTTGCAGCTTCAGGCCCTGCCACTAGTGGAGAATCACTCAGGGAATTTCTGCAAAAAATGCATCCAAAGGTAGCTGTTTGAATGGCTGCCTTAAACAGCTCCTTCTATAACTATTATTCCTTTCCAAATTGTAACATTAATTTAATCAGCAGCAATATATAAAATCTATGTTAATGTTTTATGATTATCTGTCTAGATAAATGATTGAGATGGGTAGCATTTATTTTCCTTCTCACCTTTTTCCCTACTCCAAATGATCTGATATAGATGTACAGTAAGGGTTCAGAACCACTGAATTAAACAAACAGATCGCACTTAAAACAAGAACAAATCTCTTAATATAGGTGATTCATAGCAAAATTATGTTATTGTGTGCTGTAGATCACAGGTTCACACAATGCCAAAATTCTTTATCTTTACCATATCAGATCACTCACTGAAATTTTTGCAAACTGCTACTGAAATTCATAAACTAGAGGAATAGCCAGTAGTAGGGGAGAAGGAATCAAAAAAGAAGGCACAGAGACAATCTAATACAGAACTACTTGAGTTATGTACAGTATGTAGCTATATGTTGAGGGATACCTGTAATAGACCTCCAATACATTAGCAAAAATGATCAAATTAATGTTTTTAAAAATGAAACATTTTCAATGTGTCAAGTCACAAATTTAAAAAAGTAATGTGAATTATGAAATTTTGGTAAAAGTTTTAATTACAGAAAAATAATGTAAGAAAGACCAGAAGTGAATACAATATATAAAATGAGATCAATAATTAAATGTCTACAAAGTACCTGTTTGGAGGTGGTTTTGGTTTTGGCATCTTACTAAGAATAGTTGCCATCTCTTTTCTCTCATCAAAATTCTTCCACTGCTCATATAGTTTTAAAATAACCCTGATTATTTCCAAAATCTAGAAGAAAACATTTGAAAAATTCTCAGTGGCAAAAACTAGCAACATTTAGTAAATAAAGAACACATATCACATGCAAGGCATCCTTCAAAACAGTAAAAAGTCCCTGTCCCTAAGTATTCCAGTTAGGTTAGACAAGACAAAGCAATATTTGAAAAGCATTATTTTCCACCATCCTGCTACTTAGGCTTTTCCTCCTAACCTCTTATCTTTTAACATGTATGCCCTATCCATTCTTACCCCTATCAGGTATTTCCCTTCTCTGCTGACATTTAAAATCAAACAAAATAGTAAGGTACTAAGAAAAGACTCTAATCATGAAGGGATCTGCTACAATAGAGCACATTCTCTAATACCAATTATTTCACAAGAATTTAAGGAGCTGGGGACATAGCTCAGTGGCCAAGCACAAGGTTGTGAGTTTGATCCCCAATACCGGCCCCCCCAAAATCAAAATAATTTAAGGGGAAGCCTAGCCTGGTGGTACACACCTGTAATCTCAGCACTCAGGAAACTGAGGCAGGGAGGATTACTTTGAGTTTGAGGCCAGAGTGGACTACATGGTGAGTTCAAGACCAGCCTGACCTACATAGTAAGACTCTGTCTTAAAAAACAAAACAAAACCCAAATCATTTAAGGGGAGGTAGTGCATACAAGACATTATTTTGATTCTTTTAATTATTCTACATGTAAATTAAGACAAAGTGGCAGCTGCAATCTATCAACCCAGCTCCCAAATTAGCTCTTGCCTCCTGGCCTGAGTAGAGGTTGCTTTGGATTAATTTTAATATTTTCAACATATGAGTAGAAAAGTTTGAAAACAGAGCAAACATCATTTTACCAGGGATAGACTATGTTACAAAAGTTCACAGTAGCATTTAATGGTCACTAGGAAGATTTTTAAATAACCCTGGAAGTCAGAGATTACTTGCAACCAATCAAACCAAAAGTTTGCCGTTCTATTTAACCCTAAGTCAAAAACATAACTAACATCAACTCTTCTCACCAAACCTGTGTTTAAAATTTGTTAACCAATAATCTTAGTCTGGACAGCTTATGATTTTTAGCCTCATGATATAAAAAAAGACACGAATTTTTAAATGTCCAAGTTGAAATAATCTTAAAGAATACCTTCTCCATATCCACAGAAAGCTCAGCAAACCACTGCCTGGCATCTTTCTGCTGTACCACACAGGCTACATGTAGACAAGCTGCAAAGGAAATGAGTGATAACTGCTCGTGTTTAACCACAAACATGGTCTTAGAACTAAAGTTTCTCACAGATTTCATGTACATTTTCTAATAGTATTTAAAAAATTTATAAAGCTACATTTAAGAGTTACTGTTAACCAACCATCTCTTTAATCTGAAGGAGGCAGAAAAAAAATTATTAGACTACAGTAAGGTTTTTAACATCTGTTCCTTTGCTGTGTACTAGTCATAGTGCAGATGCCTTAAGAAGGCATGTTAGAGAAAAAAAAGCCAGTGCAATGTGAACAGGGAAGTCATTTCTGATCAGCAGTACAAAGTAATCAAACAGCACCCAGAAGTCAGTGTGACAAAAACAAGACCTCCAGCCAATCAATATGCTGATAAGTTTCAACAATGATTATTTTGCTGTTTCAATTAAAAGCAATGTTACCCCCCCTTTTTTTGCTTTAAAGTTATTAGCACATGATCAAGTTATGTGATGGCTAAACTCCATGTTATAATCAAATACAGGTTAGAAAAAAACAATACAATGTATAGAACATAATTACATATATTATATAAAACCTAAACTAAAAAAGAGAGTAAAAGATCAAAAGATCCCCAAAACAATGATCTATATCACAATCTTGCCTACAACAACTCCTACCATGCAGTCCAGTGACCCTGGATCCAACAGTAGCTTAAGAGTTACACTCCCTGGTCTGTTAAGTCATGTAACTTTGCTAAGGGTGACAGGGTAGGTAGGTAAATAGCCTCTCAAGGGACTGGAGCCATATACGGCTTGGCAGTAGAGCACTTGCCTAGCATGGTGTGCCAGCAGCAAGTTCCATCACCACCCAAGTCAAAGGAGGCTACAAAGTAGGTCCAGAGGCCAAAGGATGGAAAAAGAAAAAAAACTGACCCTTAACACACAATGGAATATGGCACAACAGGTACATATATGGAGTAAACCTCATAGTGAGAAGACATCCTAAACTCACACTGAAATGATGTTGAGCAATCGTTTGAAATCACCGAAATAATGTTGAGAGGGAAAGAAGAATGTCACTAAAAAAAGCATAATCTGAGCCAAGCCTTTTAAAAAAGGTGAGAGTAGGAATGATATATCTGAAATGATACATATGATATATATATATGAATATATAAATGATATATATATATATATATATGAATTACATAGATATGTGAGTTATATGAATTATATATATTTATCTCTGATAAAAAGAAACTGAAGATTTTATTCAGCAACTGAGAGCACTGAAAGGTTTAAATGGGAGACATATTCATTTTTTAAAAATATATATATTTTTTAATTCTTGCTTTTTTTGAGACAGGGTCTCACTATGTAGCTGAGACTGACCTGGAACTCACTATGTAGCCTAGGCTGGTCTCGAACTCATAGCGATCCTCCTGCCTCAGCCTCCCGAGTGCTGGGATTACAGGCATGCGCCACCACACCCGGCTTGACATATTTTTTTAAAAGTTCATTCTAGCTCAGGGTTTGTCAACTTTGACACTATAGTCATTTTTGATTGGACAATTCTTTGAGACTGTTTTGTGCACTATAGTGTGGTTAGCAGCATCTTGACTTTTGCCCACCAGATGACAGTAGCATCCAACCTTAGTTGACAAAATCATTTTCAGACATTGCCAAATAGTATCCTCTGGGAGGTAAAATTATCCCTCACTGATAGCTAGCTTAACAGTATGGAGGACAGACTGGCTCTCTGCACATGGATGCTGGTGACTGCTGTGCTAACCTGGGTGGAATCAGGAGATTATAAAAGGGACAGACAACTGAGAGAAAGGCACAGCAAGTACTGGTAACCAACCAACATAGCTATCAAGGGAGAGGAAAGAGCCACTGCTGGATTTCTCACCAATATCCTACCTTGTCCTATTCAAAAAGCTGGCAAATAAAAAGAGGAACATGTCTGGGCGCAAGGTGATGGGTTCATCCATCCTGATTATAAGTCTGAGGTGCTGGAGAGACACCAAGTGAAGCTATGTAAAAGGCTGATGGATATAAAGAAATGCTGGGAGCAAGATCTTGGCTAAATAAATGTAAATGTTTTGCCATGTAAGAGAAGGTATAAACCTCAAGGAGACTATCTTGGAAGAATAAAGGCCACAGGCATGGCAAAGCCATGTCATACGTTCTATTATCCCCTCCTTCCTACCTAAGCAGATCCCAGTACTTCCCACTAAATCCAGATACTACTTCATAATCTTTCCATATGCAGTACTTTGTAAGAGCCGCCAGTGCTACAGAATAACTATTTGTCATACCTGATGTAAGAAGGATAGGAAACACCAACATTTAAGGAATAATTGAAAAAGGAAACCAATAAAAATAAATCTGGACTGGTAAAAGAACAGAGAACACTAAGAGGAGTAAATCATGAACTCAGAAGCAAAAGGCATGGAAGCTAACAAATGCTTGGGATCCAGTAGGCATTATTTAGTACTCACTGGCTATCTCATTTAATTCTTGAAATGATTCTATTTGAAGTTATTAGTATCCAGGAGGGAAACAAACTCAGCAAGGTTAAATAATTTCTTCACAACTGTAGAGGAACCAAAGTTTAAACCTAAGACCATGTAACTCCAAAGACTTGAATTCTACCCCATCATTGCCCTGCCTTCCCTCAACAGTGAAATGGTTGATAACTCTTCCTCTAGCAAGACAGGATCAAAGATACTCTTTTGCTCAACCCCTGAGCACTTAACTGGCTCAGGAATTTAAAAATAGGCCCATTTGTAAGACTTACAACTAATACTAGCAGGCTTAATTCTGAGCTTCTGTCCTTAAGCAAACAAAAATGTTCTATTTAGACATAATTAAAAAAAAAAAACTTGCCAAAAAAGGGTTGTGGAGTAGGGCAAATAATTGTGATTTGTGACAGTTGCAGTTAATATTATGCAAAGTTCACATGCAATGATTAGTCTATTACTTTATGGAATATGAAAAGAAAAATGGAATAAAATTTATTTTATGATGACCTAAATAGGTTTATAACAATTTAAATAATAAAGGTATACCATACTTACATACCTAAAGCTATCATGAAAGGAGGATACAGTAGGCAAAGATCCGTTCTGTAGGTATCATTCACTATCCTCCTATAGGAATATAAATCGTATTATCATGGAAAGTCGAACTATTCTATCTGATTGTACATTTTCTCCCAGAGAGGGCCAGATATCCCATCCTTGTACACAATTTCTCCCCCTTTCCATTACTAAGCACAGCTACAAAGATGAAAACATCAAGGCAAAGGACAGATACACAAATGTGACAACAAATAAGTATACATTACTGAATAGAAATTTTATATACTAATGAATAAAATACATTTGAAATTCTGAAACCTCATAATTACAATACAAAATAAACACATTTGTAATTTTGTTTTGTTTTTTGAGACAGAGTCTCACTATGTAGTTCAGGTTGGTCTTGAACTCATTATGTAGCCCAGGCTGGCCTTGCACTCATGGTCATCCTCCTGCCTCAGCCTCCTGAGTGCTGTGTTTACAGACATGTGCCACCATGCCTGGTTTGTAATTTTTTAAAAGTCTGAAAATCAGGTTAAAAAAAGAAAAAAGAAAAGAAAAGTATATGTATGGTGAATACTACAAAAATGTACTGGTTATTTTAATGATAAATTCACTTCTAATTTTTTTTTTTGGTTTTTTGAGACAGGATCTCACTGTATAGTTGAGACTGACCTGGAACTCACTATGTAGCCCAGGCTGGTCTCGAACTCACAGCGATCCTCCTGCCTCAGCCTCCCAAGTGCTGGGATTACAGGCATGCACCACCATGCCCAGCCAAATTCACTTCTAATTTTTACGAAAATAGTCTTAGTCCTACAAATCAATTTTTTTTTTGGTACCAGGGATTAAACTCAGGACCTTGCACTTTCAAGGCAGGCATGAAGACACTGCGCTAAATCCCCGGCAACAAATCAAATTTTAACAGGTATATTCAGCAAAAGGATAATATACAACTATTCTAGCATTTTTACTACTATAGTTATTAAAATTCAATTAACAGTTACTTTGCTTAACAGAAATATCTTGGGGCACTAGTTTAATGACTTTACAATTACCAAACTTCACATTTAGTTGTCAGCCTCCCTGTCTGATTAACATGTCACACTATTAATAACTTCTGTTCTAATTACCATGCAAGGGGAAGCAACATGTCTTCTTGGCCCATGTCCTGCACATACTGGAGCAAAGGTCTATAAGGATGATACACTATCAAGCAACAATCCTAGAAACAGTTTAAAAAATGTGTATGTATAAAAACAGATTTATTACAACACAAAAAAAGATATCATTACCCAACTGATTTGTATTTGTGTAATTCAAAATGAATTTCTCTAACTCATGCTTGCTTCCCTTCTAGTCTCCTAAGCAAGTCCTATGGCAGCCCTAAACTACTGTAATAGAGAAAGCAGTGCTCTCTCTGAAATATACCTTGGTAAATCGGTTGGCAGTCAGGCAGCATCCATTCATTCCCTTAGAGACTCAAAGTGTCACATCTGCAACACACTGAAACCTCTTATTAGCCTACAGATCCATAATGCCCAACTGGAGGAGCAGAAATCCGCCAAAGACAATCTATCTTTAAATTACACCACACACACACAAACTGTGTGCATTATTTACAGTGGCTGAATGTCCTGACTTGTTTGTTAATCCTGTTATAGTTACTATAGAATAGAAAAGTTTTTCCAACCTGAGTAGGCTATACCAATTTATTTTATAGGCTTCAGAGAGGAGATAGGTGATGATGTCACTAGTATGATTTCAGCATCACATGATACACAACTTAAGATGGTTTTCATATGTACCTCCCTAGAAATCATTTCATTAAATAATTTCTAATTTCATTAAATTTGGAAATAAATTCTTTTCTATTAGTCACAGAAACACACTTACCATTAGTTCTAAAAGATAGAATTCACATTCTAGTACCTGTTAAAAAAATTATCCATGTCAATTACGACTCTACTCAGTTTAGAGACATTACTCACATTTACTAAAAAAATTTAAATCAAGAAAATAGTCATTTATAACAAATATAGACAATAAATTATTAGTTTTTCATAAAATTATGATTATAAAGCATTTAAGTCCTTAAAAGGAAAAACAAGCCTCTTACAAGGTTTTTTTGGGGAGGTGTCTTGGGATTAAAACCAAGGTTTGCATATGCTAAGCACACGTCCTACCGAGTTACATCCCTAACCCCAGCACTCTCTTTTTATTTAATATTCTGTAAAAACTTCAGATATTTAAATATTAACTGTGGTACTAGGGATTAAACCCAGAGCCTTGCACTGAGCTACATCCTCAGATCTTTACATTTTTTATTTTGAGATAAGATCTCAAAGTTCCCCAGCCTAGCCTCACACCTGCAGCTCTCCTTCAGTCTCCTGAGCAGCGGGGAGTACAGGTGTGTGCCACTATGCCCAGCCTCATTTTTAGATTTATTTTGCAGTGCTAAGGATCAAGCCCATGCTGCCAGAGACTGGATGCGAGGCAAGAGCTCTTCCAGTGAGCTATATCCCCAACAGCTGGGGAGCTTTTAGAAAATATTAACACCAGAGACTCCAATCCTGAAAACCCTGATTTAGTCAGTCTGGAAAGGTCTCAATGTTAAGTATTATTAAAAAGTTCCCAAGGTGATGCAATGAGCTTCCAGGGCTGACAGATACTACTATAAAGTATTTTTTTTTAATAGAAGCTATTCAGGGCTGGGGATAGATAGCTCAGTGGTTCTGCTGCCTGCTTTGCAAGCCCAAGGTCCAAAGTTTGATCCCCAGTACCTAAAAACAACAAACCCACAAACACCAAAAAGCCCCAAACATAAGACAGAAATTATTCAGCTTTAATAATATAAATTAATGAACAAGAATAGGAAGATCTACAAATGTAATACAAATAACATGAATGCCTACAGGAATATGAATAATACTATCTATATTCTTGTAGTACCTGAAGCTGCCATTTCTAGGAGATTATTAAGTTTATGCTAATATAAAATGGAGCCTATTTATATATAGTTTTGATAAGTATGTTATTTTATACAATATACTTACATGATTCATCCTATAAGGAAATTCCTTTGGGAAGGCATATGAAAATCTAGTTTTTACTGCAGAAAACAAATAACAACAATTTAAACTAAGGAAATGTCAAAGCAAATTACACCAAAATTCCTCTAACATATAGCACAGAACAGTGGTAGTAAATTTATGGCACACATGCCACAGGGGCTCTTTTTATCACTGAAAGCTCTAAAAGGTTCACCACCACTGGTACAGAATATTAGAGGACAGGCCGGGCATGGTGGCGCATGCCTGTAATCCCAGCACTTGGGAGGCTGAGGCAGGAGGATCGCTGTGAGTTCAAGACCAGACTGGGCTACGTAGTGAGTTCCAGGTCAGTCTCAACTATACAGTGAGACCTTGTCTCAAAAAACAAAACAAAACAACAACAACAAAAAAAGAATATTAGAGGACAAGGCTCAATCATTTTCAAGTAGATGCCTTGGGAATGAATAAGGATCTAGATTTTTTTTTTCAGGGGAGGAAAAAGACTGGATGTCAGGAGCCTGTATGCTCTCCCCTACACAATGAGAGAGATTCACAAAGAGTTCTGCTGTTTAAAAGAATAAATTAAAAGATTGAAAAAAAAATCGCCAACTGTGACTGTTCTATTCTTTGGTAATGTAGGTGTCATTTCTTCTAAGTGTTTACAAATGCTATATATTTGTAAAAGATTACAAGATGAAAGGATAATACATCCCCCTAAATGTTAGTGACTATCTCCAAGATGTCTCGATTTTTAAAAATTAATCTATCCTTTCTGAGCTTTTGTATCTATTATATCAAAATATATAATAAAATACAAATAAAAGCTGGGGATGTAGCTCAGTGTCACTGTGCCTGCCTGGCAAGTACAAGGTCCTGAGTTTGATTCTTGGTACCCAAAAAAATGATAAAAATGAAAAACCAATATTAATGATCAATCCCCATCTCCTCAAAATGGTATGGGTATCCACATTTAAATACTATTTGGGAAAATTGTATAAAGCCATCATAGTGCAATAATTAATTAAATCAAATAACTATAGACAGGTTCTAGATGATGTTTTATGATCCTTTTCATTTGTACAAGTGGATTAAGCATTAAGATACAACATGGAAAATACTGGATTAGACTACTGTACACCTCTCAGAAAGGGGAATGACCCCAAAATACAAAAACCAGCATGGCTCACAAACTTAAAAAACACAAAATGTCTATCTTCTACCACTCCTGTATAGATCACAGAAATAATTTCAAGTTTGATCTGTCTTTTGTTGGGTATTGCATTTTTGCTACATCTATAAAATGGTACATAGCATAAAATCAATTATCTGGTGTAGAGTTTTCCAATTGTTATTTTACAATGTTATTTTCTTCAGTGTCATGATTTACAGATAACTAATCCTCACTTTTTAGATAAAAAAACTAAATCAACAAGTGAAGAACGCAGCTACTGACACAGAATGAGGGCTTAAAATTGAGCTTGATTGACAACAGACACAGCATTTTTTTTCTGTATCATATTTTTCAGTTTAGAGGTTTGAAAATATAAAACTCCCATCAAAGACAACTGCAAAAGAAAGCATTAGCTATAAGAATGAAATAACAGCTGGCCATTAGGAAATAATAAAATACAACAAAATTAAGAAATGAATTTTTTCTTTACCTTTATAAAATTAAGAGCCACTGAGCTGATGTTTCTGGACAACTTCTATTCTCCCCCCCCCCTGAGTACCAGGGATTGAACTCGGGACCTTGAGCTACATCCCCGGCCCCTACTATTCATTTTTAACATTAAAATAATGTCTTAAAGACAATAATGTAAGTGGTTTCAAACTTATTTTTTAAAATTTTTTTGGCCAAAAATGCTAGCCATAAAGGTATTCTCAGGAGCTATAATAACCACAACCCATCAGGAACTATAGCAACCACAACCCATCTCTGACATGCCTCATAAACTAAAATACATCTTTATATGATAGAACTTTGTTTGGAAAGCAAGACATACTTTTTGCACTTACATACAGAAGTAGCAGCAGCAATCAGTCTTGTATTTGAGACTACCCCAAATTCCTATGTACAAAAAAGCAAATGAGGTCAGGTAGGTGTTAACTCAGTATTTCTTAACCTAAAGATATCTGGTCTGTTCAAAGCAGAGCATTTCCCCTATATTTATATAATCTGTTCAGTTTCTACCTACTTGAGGTATGAGGTATTTAAATTTCTAAATGCATTTACCTTTACTTAAGACTGTCACAATTTAAGACAAACTTTTAAATAATTTTTAATTTAATCTCAAAAGGTACCAAAAAGCCATAAAGTGAAAACTCCAGTTTTCTACACTTAACAATTTCCAAGGTTGTCTAGATTCTACTTCTCTGTAAGAATAAATATTAAATATGCTTCTTATTTAGTTAAACCTGGACCAATAGATAACGTATGCTATTTAATAATGAAATGTATCTTTGATTAAGATAAACTTTAATATCACTAAAAGAACTCAGAAGTCCATACTAACACCTATTATCTTTTTGGGAACAGAGATCAAGAATAATACAAGATTTCCAAAGTTAGTTCCCATTTTTTTTTTCCTTTCAACCAAATACATAGTACCACCATTGTAAAGATTATTAAAACAGAAAAGTTAAGAATTGGTTCCTTATTCAACAAAAGAAACTAAACTAAAAACTATTTAAATACTTTCACGGTACAGTCTTATTCTCTGCAGGGGGAATGTATACATGTATGCACAAATTTACATTTAAAACTTCCAACTATAACTATGTGAAAATGAAAATTAAAAGCCTAATATATCTTAAACACCATTTGTATACCATTTCCATACATTTGGACAAAACAGAAAAATTTGGTCATACAGATAAAAACATTTAGAAAGCTTTTATTGGGGCTGGGGATTTAGCTCAGCGGTTTGGTGGCCTGCCTTGCAAGCACAAAGACCCGAGTTCAATCCCTGGTACCAAAAAAAAAAAAGAAAGAAAGCTTTTATTAATATTTCTAATATAATCGATCACATTATTTATGTAATAGTCAAGAAAGATATCACAGATAATCCTGAATAGCTACAACAAAACAATCAAAATGGGTACAAAAGGAATGTAAGCTAGGTTAAAATCAGAACTGATATTATAGAAAACAATTACTATTCTAAAGAAATTATCCAAAAATGGAAAGATAGTACCATTCAAGGATTTTATAAGACTAAAGAAAACTGCCAATTTTCATAAAATCTGCTATTATTGTTTGGATGTCAGCTAAGAACTGAGCTCTCTCTCAAAAATATTGAAAAGGTGAGTTTAATAGAAATTCAGTCTCAGCTCCAAGTTCCTATCTTTCTTCTCTTCACCTAATTTTTCTATCCTCACTATTCAAACTTTTCCTTGTTAAAATCTATATGGCTTTCCCAATCTATGCCTTCTGTTCTGCTTTTCCTATGGCATGGCAGGCAATCACCAGGAGGCAGGGAAGAAGACAGTAGGAAATAAGAGGCATATAGGTGGAACATACTGGAAAAAAGCTGTGGCAAACCATGTCTTAAAGGCAGCAGAATGAAGAAGTTAAGAACACAAGATTAGGAGAAAGACTCCTATGGTTCAAAGACTGGTACTGCCACTCACTAGCTGTGTAATCTTGTCAACAAGTTTTTTGAGATAGGGTCTTGACCTGAACTCACTATGTAGGCAAGGCTGGCCCTGAACTTGGGTCAGTCCTCCTGCCTCAGCTTCCAGAATGCTGGGATTATAGGCATGTGCCACCACACCTGGTTTAAACAAGTTTTTAATCTCTCTTTTTGTCTCAGTTGCCTCTTTTGTAAAATGAGGATACTATGACTATATATTCCAGAGTTATGAGAATTAAGGACTTAGAAAAAGCAGTTGATAGTCTTGTATGTTTGCTAAGTAAATATATATAATAAACATATGTATATATTCCTTTGAATGTGTATAATTTTAATATTAAGCATACATTACCATCTATTTTTATCATTACATACAGCAATGTAAAAACTGAAGCAGAGCCACCAACATACATTGACTATATTTTGATGAAGAACAGAAAATTGTTTATACCTCCACTTTGGATGCCAAAAACACGCATGTAGGAGCCATTAATACAGGGTCTATACTTTTCAGAGAATACCTAAAATGTGATAAAACAAACTGTCACCCAGTTACAAAATACACTTGAAAAAATATCACACAAAATCTACGGCAAACAACTTATTCATTTACACTAAGGTTCATCAACATTAAAAAGGAGTTTGAAATAGGCAAAACACATTCCCAAAATGAAACAGTCCTACCTGGCATAGAATCTCTTGAAATAGACTGTAGCAGTGGCAATAACTTGTTGTCTTAATTTAAGATGTTCACCTAATGCTTGGATAACTAAAAGGAAAACAATAACGTTTTAAATGTATACCTGGTATAATTAAATTAACCTTAATAATTTTCAGTGTTTAAATGACTATATTCATTTTCAACAAAAGGGAAAACCTATCCATGCTATACACCTCTACTTGATTCACACTGGTCTAATACTAGGTTCTGCACATTTGGTAAAAATATAGCAGTACTGGGCTGGGGATTTAGTTCAGTGGTTCTGCCACCTGCCTCGTAAGCACAAGGTCCTGAGTTCGATCCCCCAGTACAAAAACATTTACATATATGTGTATGTGTATGTACACACACACACACACACACACACACACGCACGTATATAGCAGAATGCATAAACAGGCAAACAAAAAAAAAGGAACTGCTCTATAACAGAAGTTATTCTGGCAATATGGAGGTTAAATGATATCCCTCCTCTATTTCCTAAATATTTTAATACTTTTTATATTATCTTTATAATAAATATAAAAAGAAAATGCTGGACATCTATCAGACACATTATAACTACCATAACAAATCCTCAAAACAACAGAGGTAGGTGTGCAAGAGTGACTGAGGTTAGAAAGATCACTATTTTATCTTCCAATTATCATAAAACAGAGTAAAAGTTTTTTGACTAGATTCCCTTCTCTCCAAGCAAAGTTCTAAGGTAAAAATGACAATCATGGGCTGCTAATTCAAAGAATTATTTATCTTCAAAATACTTTTCTTTAGCCAATCTTAATGTGAGTTGTTTTATAAAGGACTATAATTAGTTAACACTTTCAAATTATCTTTAGTCCTCTGACATGTAAACTTGACAAAAACTCTAGATCACTAAAAAGAAAGATAAGTTGTAAAAAATGCATGTGTATATAAAAATGTTAAGCATAAACTCCAATAGTTCATTAAAAATCACTATATAAAAACATTCTCATTCAAAGGTAACCAACTAGCCAGGTGTGGTGGAGCATGTCTGTAATCCCAGCATCCAGGAGGCTAAGGAGAGGTCAGCGTGAACTACATAGTAAGACTGTCTTAAAAAACAAACAAAACAAAACAAAAAAGGTAATCAACTATACCACTTCAACCAATTAAAAAAATTTTACCATTTGTAAAAAATATCTGTAATTTCCAATATTCTTCTTCTGAGAGAAACTTTAAATCCTTCTGGCGCTCCTTCAACAGATCTTGTTTATCCAAAATCCACTGCAAACTAGAAGTAAAGATGTTAAGATGTGCTTGATATAAAATCAATAAGAAAAGTCTCAGAAAACACTCAGACTATATAGGTTTTTCATATTCAGGAAGCACAAAGTGCCAAAAAGTAACCTGAAAAGACAATAGTTCTCATGTTTCTGAAAATGAAAATTAGTAAGAATTATCTCACTAACAAACATAAATATACCCTGAAAAAAATTATCCTCTAATTTTATCCTCTTTCTGGTGTTTCTATTGTATTATACTGTATTGATTCTAACACTCTAATATCAAGATATACCTTAAAATCAGCAATGTTTTATCATCCTAATTAACAGAAATTACTTAGCATCAATTGATGGGTGCTTAAAGTATATTCTCAACTGTTCATGAGTAAGGAGAGTGTTTAATTTCCCTACTTCACAAATTCCGGTCATGTTAAATAATATTTTAAATAATTTTCTAAAAGTAGAACTAAAAGGGCCGGGGATTTAGCTCAGCGGTTCGGTGGCCTGCCTTGCAAGCACAAGGACCCGAGTTCAATCCCCAGTACCAAAAAAAAAGTAGAACTAATGGATCAACTTTGGTGGCAACTTTAATGTAAATAGTCAGTTTACTCTCCAAAAAGGTTACCCCAGTTTCCATTCTTATTAATACTTCATTTGTGCTTACCATATTTAGGGTTCCATTCAATCATTCAAATACTTTAAAATTTAAAGGCAAAGTAATGTATCACTACTTTTTCCTCTGAAGTTTACTTATGAGGTCAAACATTTCCTCAGGTCTTGATGGCCAAATACAATTCCTCTGTACACTATTAATTCTAATATGACCATTTTTGAATGGGTTTTCATTTTTGTAATCTGTTCATTAATTCAATCAATCAACTAGAAAAATACTTGGTGCACTTCTTGTTTTATTACATTTTAGTAAGAGAATGTGTTCTTCAATTTTCTGAAATGTTTGTGATTTGCTCAATAGTTTCATCTTCACAGTCATTTTTTTTTTAAAGATAAATGTCACAAACAAATGTCTCAAGTCTTCCTCACAGTATTTTGTATGGAGTCTAACCCAAAACTCATACAAGCTGCATTTTAGCAACTTCAAATTACACGTAAGATTCACCATTATTTTCATGTGTCATTATAAAAAATGCTGAGTTGACTTCCCAGATATAAGAAATGTGCATCTCAGAGGCATGAAATACAGCTTTGCTTTTGGGGATGGCGATTTAAATCAGGGTCTTTGCAGTGAACTACAACCCTAGCCCCTTTGTATCTTTAGACACCATCTTACTACGTCATTAAGTTGCCAAGGCTGGACTTGAATTTAGGATTCTCCTGCTTCGACTCCTAGAGTGCTAGATTACAGGTGTGCATCACCTAAGGTCAGCTGAAATACTGCACATTTCTTCATTTTCCTTTCACCATATTCGCATAAAAATGGCCTTTTATTGTCTTGTTGTTGATTACTTTTAAAAGGGAATAATTTTAAAATAAATAAATAAGAACTGAATAAAACTTTAGTAAATGTGCAATACATCCATTTCTTTTTAAAGAATCTCCTTGCCTCTCGTACTACCCTTTACAAGTCAGGGACACCATGATTCTCAATGGATCTGAGTAAAGACAAGTGGCCTTTCCTCCAGGATTATCTGAATTAGAAGGCAAGGTCAGTTTTTTTTTTTTTTTTGTACCGGAGATCAAACTCAGGTCCTTGCCCTTGTGAGGCAGGCAGCAGAATCACTGAGCCAAATCCCCGGCAAGGTCAGTTTTTTAAAAACACATTTAATACTACAATTTCAAATTGAAGCAGGGTGTGGTGGCACACACCTGTAATCCCAGCACTAGGAGACTGAGGAAAGAGGATTGCTCTGAGCTCCAGGACAGCCTGGGCTACACAGTGAATTCAAGGCCAGCCTGACTACATAGAAAGGCCCTGGATAAAAAATGAAAATAAAAATCATAATCTCTCAGTAAATGAAGGCATAATGAAAATGCTTATTAAGAGACAATCTTTTTAAAGTTGAAAAACTGACAAACACCCGGCTGCCTGTCAATTCTCTTAGTTTCTGAAAGTATGTATATTTTTTTCTTCTTTTTTTGGTGGTACCGGAGATAGATCTCGGGACCTTGCGCTTGCAAGACAAGCGGCGGAATAACTGAGCTAAATCCCCCCCTCCGAAAGTTTATCAGTTTTGCCACTACTGAAATTTGTTTCAACTCTGCTCAAGCAAATGTTTCAGTAAGAACAACGGAAACTAAAAAATGAGATGATCAGTACTAAAGCATCGATAGCATTTCTTCTCCACAGAATTATTTTATAGCAAGAGGAAAACATGCCTTTTGGAAAACAGGTCTCCAAGTACATTGTTTCTTTTCCTCTTCAAGCAAAGGGTGGAAAAAAATGAATGAACAGACACCAATCCTAGTCACAGAATAAAAATTTAAATATTAATGGTCTTACCATTACAATTTTACACTAAAATTATCTTCAACTATACAGTAGTAAGCCTCGTGTTTAACCCCGTCACACCACACCTTCTTCACGTAAAAGTAGAGATGCTCTTAATATTACACCAGCTCTTTCACAGTCACTGACAGAAACAAACTTATTCGCAAAAAAGGTGTAAGAAACAGGCAAAATCACTGGTACATTTAGAACGTTTAGAACAAAATATAAGACACGGGAAGGCACGAATAATTCTGAGAGCACGTGCCCTATGCCTATCAACATGAAACTCCATCTAGGCATATAGCAGCGGCCGGACTCCCTGCTCTCCTCGAAATATCAAAGCCACTCACGACAGAGGGTGAATGACAAAAGAGCATAATGCTGTTCTCCTGAACAGACTCCAGGCAAAAGCAAGCCACAACTGTCCTGAACAGGCAACCGCAGCCCTAAACACAGACACAATTCCGCCCCCACCCCGGCCTGCCTAACCCAAGAGCCCGAAACTCCGTCTTCCTTCCTGGAGACCGAACCCGTACCCCCACCCTTCACGTTCACGACCACCCTACATCAAACCTGGCACCGGCAGACAGAGAAGTCGCCTCAAAAAAGCCCATTTCATTTCCGGTTCTGCTGCCTCCGGAGAGGATCTCTCGGGACCAGAGCTGGAATCCAGGCCCAGAGGGAGTCGCAGGCCCAGTCCTCACCGCCCCCCAAAAACAGCCCCCGGCGAGAAGAGAGAAGATCGCTTACTAGTGGGAGCTCTGCCAAAAGTTCCCTGCCATGGAGCGCAGATTGCCCTGATAAAAAAGCACCAGCCGGCGGAGCGGCCCGCGGAGCGACCATAGACCCGGCCCGTCGGGTAACCGCGCTCCTCGACCTGATCAGCTAAGCTCCTCTCCGCGGCGGCAACTGGGAGAGGAAGACGACGGCACCCTCTTCTCCTCAACGCCGGCTGGCAACATTGGACTGTGTTAACCCGTTCCTACACAACAAAAGTTCCGGCTCGCTCCGCTCCGTAGTACCAGAGAAAGCCGAGAGGGGGGCCGGCTTTGCTTGTGGGCGTGGTTAAAATCGGACAACGGAATTGGTGCTCACGAAGGTTCGCACCGAGGGAAGCCTCTCGCGAGAACTTCTGGCGGACTTCTGCCTAGTGCCCAAGCCCGCTGGTTTTCGGTTTTCACCGCTGAATTCACTATATCGAGAACCACCCAGTTTGGAGTCTGACTCATCTCCTTGTCCAGGCCTTTAAAAACAGCACATGGTCACTATGATAAAGTGTAAGAGCTCGTGACTTCACTTTTTTCTGCAACTGGAAAGAAACAGTTGAGGATGATTTTGGCTTCCCCCACCACCCATCCCTGCTGTAGAGCCCTGGAGATTGAATCCAGGGCCAACCATACTAAGTGCTTGAGTGCTACCCGCCCTAAGTAGTCTGAATAAAAGGGGCAGAAAGATGCTGTTAAGCTCTTGTTTTCCCCTTTAACTTTGGGTGTTGGGTATTTTGTCTCAGCAAGGAGAGAAAAGAAACACAAGGGCCGTAATTATATATATATATTTTTTAAAAGTTTATGAAAGACATTAACAACAGGTAAATTCTAGTTAAATCAGGTCTTAGCCCAGTGAGTGAAGATCCTTACAGAATGCTCCACTTTCACATAACATTGGGGTTAGGCCCTGGCAACCAGGAATGCTGTGTCTTGTTCTGGAAATAGAAGATTTGGTATCAGAGTAAAAGTGTACAATGTATAACCTTAAAATGCCACTGTGCTCTGTGGCAAATGTGGTGGTCATTTGGGCCAGAGACCTAATACATGATTGTAATGTATGGAACACTGAGGTCTTTGTTTCTTCATTTAACTATAATTGGCACAGCACCCTGCCTTTATCTCTCAATCTCTCAGGCCCACTGATTTCTAACTACCTGCTTGCTAGCCGGCCACAAAACCCAAAATGTAAACCGGGCGTGGCGGCTCAGGCCTGTAATCCCAGCACTCGGAGGCTGAGGCAGGAGGATCACAGTGAGTTCACGAACAGCCTGGGCTACATAGTGAGTTCCACGTCAGTCTCAACTACATAGTGAGACCCTGTCTCAAACAAACAAAAGAAAACAAAACAAAAAAGCCATAATGTATTTTAATTCTGTTTATTCCCCTTCCCCTCCCGTCCACTCTTCTCCCTCATCTGGAGCTCTCCCCATTTGCATCTGTCTCCCTGTTTCTTACTATCAATCTTTTATGTTGTTTTTTGGAAATTATTTGTACTTTGCATTTCTCATATAAAAGAAGTTATGTGATGTTTAAGCTTGTGTATGTGATTCATTTCACTTAACATGGTCTCAAGGTACATCCAATTTCCTGCAAAGAACTCAAATTTATTTTCTTTATGTTAAAGTAGTATTATATAATGAATGCAAACATAACATATGGTAAACGTACCTTAATTTGAGGGGGGGTTTGTTTTTTGAGACGGTGTCTTGATATGTAGTCCAGGCTGATCTTGAGCTCACTAGTAGCCCAGGATGGCCCTGAACTTGCAGCAATCCTCCTGCCTCAGCCTCTCAAATGCATTACAATGCCTGGCTGAACATGTATTAATTTTTTAAAGTATTTTATCTGTCACTCCCATGAAGTCTCATAAAGTCAGCTTGCTCTCTTTCATGGTTGACCTCCAGACCTTCAAGGATATAGCATGCTTTTGTCTTCCTACTACTCTACTCTACCTCACTGTTCTTTGCTTCCTAGCTTAAAATCTTCCTGTACAAATCACAAAGGACTTACCTTAACTCTTAACCAGCAAACAACACAGGTACTTTCTCTCGTGGACAACTGACCAGAGTACATACATGCCTCCAATTTAATTGCCACAGGGGCTGAGAAATGTGGGGGTGAATGCAGTTTATTTGTGAACACTGCTGTCTGTTACACTGCAGACTATAGTCCAAAATACTTGAAAGGTAACTAGTGAATAAATTTGAAGCCCTGGGCTGTTTCACAGAGGTTCAGATCTCTTCAACTGTGTTTTTGTTTTATCAAGATGGCATCATTCAGAACGTAAGGATTCTATGAAAAATTAATATTACTAATGTTTCATTCTTTTTTCTTTGCTAGGGATCAAGCCTCACGAATCTCTGTGCTCCTATTACACTGCTTCTATCATTGAATTATCAGTTAATTCTGATTTATGCCTAATTCTTTACTCTTCTTCTACAAAATATCTTTTTTTTTTTTTTTTTTTACCAGGGATTGAACTCGGGTCCTTGCGCTTGCAAGGCAGGCCACCGAACCACTGAGCTAAATCCCTGGCCCAAAATATCTTCTTTTTTGTATTTCCGTTAGTTCAGGACCTAACACACAGCACAGAAAATACTAGAAGTTGAATCTGACTCATAATATTTATAATATCACAGATACAAAATTAGGCTGAAAAAGTGAGTAGTTAAAATGCAAAAAGAAACCTCAACAAATTACTTGAGCTGTGGAAATTCAGATCTCTTTCTTCTGTGGACTCTTCTGTTAGTTTATCAGAAATTCTACATAAAACATTGTTCTGTTTGAAGCCTAGTTTCTGCTTCCCACCCAGAACGCCAAATGCCCAAAAAGTTCCCAGTTCTCACAAGAACCTATAAGTTAGGGTCCTAAAGGCTTCCTTAGGTCAAGGGTAGATTGCCTATGGGGGTATTTTATAAACACAGGTTGAATTAAATGGACTTGAACCAAAAGCTAGCTTTATTTAAGGGTATTTCTGTTAGAAAAGGACCACTTAAAAAGCTGTTAAAATGCCTGGATATCTCAGCTTCTCTGTACAAATACACATACAGAGAAAGTGTGAACGATATAGGTGTGCTTGTTTGGCCAGTCCCTAAAACTATTCTTTATAATTTTAGGAGTATTGTTTTTCAGTCCTTCCTATAAACATAATTTACACTTAATGAAATAAGTCAACATGGTCCTTCCCAATTTCCAGTTTGCTTTGGGCTTTTTAAGTAGGGATGCATTCAATATATTCTTAATGCTAATGCTTTTGTCTTGTAACCAGAAAGCACTTATCCTTTTTTTTTCCTTATAGTACTTTTTCTAGCAACATGAATACTGTTTTTTGAAAACGGGTGCTCACTTAACTAGGTAGTGACAAGAACCACTAGAATCCAGGCCTGATTCCTAGTACAATGAGTTTTCCACCCAACTATATAGTTTTAATAGAACTATCATAACTAAATTACAAGAAGCTCATTATTCCAGGTGCATTGTTCAAATTTTCTCCTCTCGAAAACTATTATTGAAGGCCAACTTTTCATTTTTTAATTAAATTATTGTCTTCATTTTGCCTCAATACTTTTAGTTTTTTTCCTTTTTTGCCATCCGCATAATTCTATATGCATATACTCAGTGCTATCAAAAAGTATGGTGAACATTTACATTTTAAAATGCTTTATTACATGAAAGACACATTGCCATTAAACCCCTCAAAATATTCCCTCTTACTTAAAACACACTCATTCCATCATTTTTACCACTTTCTGAAGCAGTTCTGGAAGTCCGCTTTCATTAGTGAGCATCTTTAGTTACACTGTCATGGTTGCCTTGATGTCCTGAGTGATTTCCAAATGTTTACCCTCCACAATCGCCTTGACTTTGGGAAAGAGCCAGAAGCTCAGTGCCAGATCTGGTGGATATGGTTTTTGAAGACACTGTAATGTTTTTACAAGCTTATCTTTCCATTGTATGGTACTCAGCAACAGAATTCACCTTATTATTTTTTTTTTAATTTTTTTTTTTGGTACCGGGGATCGAACTCGGGTCCTTGTGCTTGTGAGGCAGGCCACTGAACCACTGAGCTAAATCCCCAGCGCACACCTTATTTTTAAAAATCACACCTCATAAAGGAATATTTTGGGGGAATTAATGGCAATGTGTCTTTTACTGAAATATATTTTTTAAATTTCTAAATATTCACCATATATTTTGAGCACACCAAGCACACACACACTCCTCACCTTGTATATTTTCTGTGTACTTCAATTCTAAGCTAATTGTAACTTCAGTTTGTGAGTTTTTCAGCTTTTCTCTATGTTATTAACTTTTAAATTCTACTCTAACCTCATTCTTTCCGCATATCTCTTGTTTGCTTATTTATATAGAGAGGGGCCTCATAAAATAATATTTTTGGTGGGGTGAAACTGGCATCCCTCATACTTAATGGCAGCCTCAATAAAATGATTGTCATTGGGCCAGGGATTTAGCTCATTGGTTTTGCTGACTGTCTTGGATATGCAAGGTCCTGAGTTCAATCTCTGATACAAAAAAAAAAAAAAAAAAAAAGATTGCGATTGATGTAAAATGGGGTGGCAGTTAGGATAGAGTCTCAACTTGCCTGGCTTTGGAATCCACTGTGGAGATTGGTGAAACACACTCCTGGGTGTGTCTGGGGGGTTATGGAGGCATGGTCCAGGGGATTTATGTTTGATTCCTCATGCAATATGTCAAGAGGACGCAAGAGTCAACTTGAAAGAGATTCCAGTGGCTTAACCTAGAACATTTGAGCAATAACAACTGTGTTAGTCAAGGTTCTTCAAGGAGAAAGAACCAACAGGAAATTTATATATGCTCACTGAGTTATAAAGGCTGAAAAGACTCACAATCTGCTATCTGCAAGCTAGAGACCCTGGAAAGCTGGTCACGTTCTGAGAACCAGATTTATTGATGTCCAAAAGCAAGTGAAGATGGATGCTCAGCTTCAGAAATGAGACTGTATTCACCCTTCCTCTGCCTTCTTCTTCTGTTTGAGCCCTCAACAGATTGCTTAATGCCCATTCATTGGTGAGGGTGATTTTCTTTACTCAGTCTAATGATTCAAATGCTAATGTCTTCCAGATGCAGTCTCACAGACACATCAGGAATAATGTTTTACCAGCTATTGGGGTATCCTTTAGCCCAGTCAAGTTGACATAAAATTAACCATCACAATTACCAAAAAA